ACTGTCGCTGCTTATGCTGCAGTTCCATTCGTCGCATCAGCCCCTATTGCTTCTGCTGGTGCTCCTGCTGCTGCTGTATCAGCTCCTGCCATCGCCTCTTATGCTGCAGCAGCTGCTGCTTCTGCTGGCGCTTCTGCTGCTCCGTCTTCTGCTACCGACACTGTCTTTAATCCACCTGCATCCGATTACCCCTCAAGCGAGGTGAGTTATTCATGAGCCAAGCCAAAACACTTCTGTTTTCCAGCTAGTTCAAGTATGGTTCTCCCATTTGCTCCAAACTTACCGCTTCGACTCTCTGCTGTTCCTCCCTCCCTGCCCTATTTACCATCTCTTTGTTTCCAACTGGCAGTTCATGCAGCAAGCCGACACAACCATGGGTTTTCCAACCCATTTAGCCCCATCCCAACATGGCCCATACCAACCTGACCCATCCCACCTCAACCCATCCTACCTCAACCCATCCCACCCCGACCCATCCCATCATGACCCATGCTACCATGAGCCATCCCACCGTAACCCAGGCCACGACCACCCGTCTCACCTTCCATCCTCTGCATCAGAGACACACTCCCTTTGGCACACTTGTACCAACGCCAGCATCTGGAATGAGTTAGACCGGAAACTCCCAGTTTCTGACAGAAACCAGCCTCTGAAGCCCGAGTTACACACACCGACAGAACCCTCCTGGCACAGCTGCAGCAGGAACGGCATGTGGAGCGAGATGGATACAACCACTCCAAGCACCACCACCAGCAGCATCTGGAATGGGATAAAACCCGGTCTCTTAGCTTCCGGCGCGCCTCAGAACACGGAAGCACGCGTGCCGACAGAAACCCCCTGGCACAGCTGCAGTAGCAATGACATGTGGAGCGAGATGGATCCAAAATTCGCGAGCACTGGCATTTGGAGTGAGATCGATTCTGGAGTTGCAAGCACCGACGTCTGGGCTGGTTTCATCGACACACCTGCCACTCCCACCGATGGATCGACTCCAAGCCTTGCCTCTACACCGACGGTGGAGATTCGAGGCTCAATCTCTCAGGAACCGCCGGAATCTCCTCTGATCGGGGTTGGGGCATCTGATTGGTTTCACTCACTGGCTTCTCAGACTGAGATCATGGGGCTTGGGGCGTCTGAGATACTGGTTCAAGGGGTGGGAGAAGTTTTTGAGTCGACTCAAAAACGGGCGTCTGGGATGCTGGTTCAAGGGGTGGGAGAAGGAGGTGGCAAGGAGATGCGGGCTGAGTTTTACAGCGGCGGCGGGGGGGGATTAGACGACTGGCCGTTTTTTTGGGAGCGGTTGGATGGGGTTTGAAACATCCCATGGAGTCTTTACAGAGAGATGGGGCCTTGGGCTTACTCGTAATAAGGCCTTCAGTTAAATAGTTTTCGACATGTCTCATAGGGAGATGGGGCGTTGAGCACACATCGATGCTGTGATTGGCCAGTCTGAGGGAAGATGCTGACTTGCATACATAAGGGTATGGGTAATAGGAAGCTGTAGCATGGTTAGATGCTGGAATGTTAGCAGATCTCTTGCAATGCCCAGTTTTGAGGAAAAATAACCGAGTGTTAACCGATGACAAATTGTGCCTACAACCCCCCCACTCGTTATGCACTTGTTCCAGTTTTTAGCCCACTTCATTATTGTCACCCTCTACACCATCTGTGCAGTGTTGCACATCAAGCAACTCGCTACTAGCAGCAGATCCCGCTCGTGGGGTTACCACACCCGGTGTTACACATCCAGTTGCCGCCTTCATCTCCCCAATCAACCCATAAGCAGCGCTATTTATTTCAGCCACCCGCTTTTCTTTTGCCCGAAGCAACGTGGTGTAGAGGGACCGGGCAGCTTCAAGTTCTGAAACTTTCGCAGCTGCCCGACGCCGCTGGGCGCGCATCCGGGCAGCAGCTTCGTTGCGGGCAAGCTGAGCTCGTTCTAGCACAGCTAGGGCAGAAGAACGGGCAGAAGAAAGAAATGCATTACTGTCCACTTCTTCAGCTGTCACTGCACTTCTGCCCCCCACCTCCTCTCCTTCAGCAATTCCCTCCTCTCCCTCAGTCACTCCCTCCTCCTCCCCCTCCTCTCCATTCCCGTCTCCTTCACCTTCCGCTGTCTTGCTTCCCTTGCTGCTCCCCTCAGTTTCCCCATCAACCGTAACCACAACCCCTGCCTGGTTACCAGGACCCCCTTCCCCCTTTACAAGCCCCTCCAGACTTGTGTCATTATTCTCATTGTCAGTACGTGCCGTCTTTTGAGTCAACTCAAATGCCACCTGGTTACCAGCAACCCCTTCCCCCTTTACAAGCACCTCCAAGCTTGTGCCTTTATGCTCAGTGTCAGTACATGCCGTGAGCCGTGCAACTTCCTTGGAAGCTTCCTCCAGTGCAGCTTCGGCGTCTGCCAGGTCATCCTGAGCGTCCAAAGCTGCAGCCACGGCAGCCTTAGCTTCGGCATGGCACTGCCGCCGAGCCTGCTTGGCTCGGAAAACCTCGTCAAACTGCAGAAGGTCCGGATGCTCCGAACCTAATGTTAAACTCTCGCCACCATCGAAATTGTCACCCTCGATACTGCCGTCCTTCTCACTATCATGCTCGCTATTGTCACCCTCCTTTTTGCCACCCTCACCCTGATAGTCACCCTCCTGGTTGTTACCCTCCCCCTCTTTGTTGTCACCTTCGTCATTCCTGTCACCATTGTTATTGTCACCATCTGGTGCTGCTTCTGCTGCTGCTGCCGCTGCTGCTGCTGCTGCTGCTTCTTCTGCCGGTGCTGACTGGCTATTACACCTTTCTCCATGCACTCCAGACAAACCTCCTTCCGCAGTAGCAGCTTTATCAGCCACAGCAACAGCAATTGCAGCATCAACATCTGTATCGCCATCAGCAGCAGCGTCCGCATCAGCATCAGCTCCAGAACCAGTATCATCAGCAGCAGTAGCGGAAACATCAGAATCAGCAACAGCAGCAGCCGCAAAAGCAGCAGCATCAACATCCCCAGCAGCAGCAACATCAGTATCAGCATCAGTAGCGGCATCAGCATTAGCAGCAGAAGCATCAACAGCATCACCATCAGTGCCAGCATTTGCAGCATCGGCATCAGCATCAGCATTAGCATTAATCGCACCACCAGCATTTTCAGCACCAGCATTATCCGCATTTGCAGCACCGGTAGCAGCATCATGTGCACATGCAATCTCAGGACTGGCAGCGTACCGAGCAACCTTCTGAGACACCTTCTGAGGCGCTTCCTTGGACTCTTCCTGAGGCAACTTTTCAGGTGACCGTTCTGGCGACTCTTGAGGCACCTCAAAATCATGTGCACAGGCACTCTCAAGGTTGCCAGATCCACTCTGTGACCCACTCCCTTCCCCTCTGAATCCCCCTCCTCCTTCTCCTCCTCCTACTCCTTCCCCCTCTGATGAAACCACTTCGTTCTTCTCCCCACTGTCAACCTTGCCACACCCACTCCCCTCACCCTCACCCTCACTCCCTTCTCTTTCCCCTTCTCTCCTCCCTGGAACCTTCTCCTCCACACCCACCGCCTCCACTGCCCCCGCTGTCCGCACCACCATCCCCCCTGCCCCCCCTGCCCCCGCTGCCCCCGCTGCCCCCGCTGTCCCCACTGCCTTCCCTGGCCCCCCTGCTCCCACTGCCAAACCCACCACTGCACCATCAATGAGGGTCCTTCCACGACCCTTCCTATCCAAATACCCCGAAAACAGCTTCCCACCGGCCCCAACCCCTCCAACTCCCGAGGCAGTAGCAGCAGGTTCGCGCATGTTCAGCATCGAATCAATGTTGTAGAAGCGCTTCCCAAGCCTGAACGGCAGGTCCGGCACAGCGTCGGTCGCCTCCGAAGCTATGGTGCCAGCGTCACTGTCAGTGCTGCAAGGGCTAGGCTCTCCCTTCCCATCCTCCTTCCTCTGCGCCTCCTCTCTCCTCTCTGCTGCCTCCTTTCCAGAAATAGGAACCTTATTTGCCCCTTGCCATTCCCCGTCCTCCTCCGTTTCCTCTCCTTCCTCCTCCAAAAGACCCCTTACTACACTTCGAATCAGCCCAAACGACCTACCACCTTCCTCAATAATTGCCTCATCTTCCGTCTCACATGCAACTTCTTCCAGTTCAGATGTTATCCCCTCTTTCCCAAACCCCAAGTCAACATCGCGCATGTTCTTCAGCAGCTCTTGATACCACTCCTCATCCTCATCCTCCTCCTCCTCACCCTCCCCACCCGCCCCTCCCTCCACATCCCCACCCAAACCACCCACTCTCCCACTCTCCTCCCTCTTACCTTTCCCCTCTTTCTGCCTAATCCTCTCCCCAACTCCCTGTTTCCTCCCCTCAAACTCTCCCCTCACCTCCTCTTCTCCCTCCACCCCAACTCCAAGGGACGAGGCCCAACCCCCACTGGATACACTCCAAACATCACTCTCAACCTCTGTCTCAGTTGCTGTCTCTGCATCTGCATCTGCCTCTGCAGGCTTATCTGCACTCCCACCACCCATCTCCAATCCCATTTCCGATCCCCCACCCCCTTCCCTGCTACCCTCCCCACCTTTCCTTCTCTCCCTCCTCCCCTTCTTCTCCCGTCCCTTTCGCCCCTCCCCAACCTCCAATTCCTCCAAAAAAAGATTTATTGCTTCGTTCAAGCTGCCCGAACCCTGGGATCCCAGAAGGGAACCAAGGCTAAGTTTCAAGCTGCCTGTGTCACTCCCGCCTCCTGCTCCCGAGCCTGCGCCCGAGCCTCTTTCTACCGAACCTCCAGCTCCCGAACCAACATGGACCAGCTTCTCTGCTGCCTTTCCTTCTCCTCCTCCTTCTCCCTTTTCCACTGTTGACACCCCTCCCTCTCTCGCTCCCTCCTCCCCACCCCCGTTCCTGCTGCCAATGCTCTCCTTGCCTTGACTCCCACCGGATTGCACCCTTCTTAACCTAGCTCCACCACCTGAACCTTCCCTTGATGATGCTGCTGCTGACGCTGCTGAAACTGCTGACGCTGCTGTTGATGCGACTGATGCTATTGATGCCAAGCCACTCTCCGCCTTACCCCCTCCTCCTGTCACCCACTCCATTCGCCTCCTCTCCCTCCCCTTCTCCTTCTCCCTCCCTTTCCTCCCCTCCCTTCCACCCCTCTCGTTCCCACTGCCCCCACTGTCAAGGCTGCTCCGAACCTGCTCCCGAGCCAAGTCAAGTCCGGAGCTGATCCGAGCCTGATCTTGGCTCGGCCCCAGGCCGGGGCTACACCAAACCTGCTCCAGGGTTGGGTCCACGCCGGTGCTGCTCCGACCCTCCTCAGACGACGAGAGGAAGAAAGGGATGGGGAGGATGACGTCAGCATGGGGTGACGGACGAATGGCGGAGTGACAGCTGGAGCTCGGAGGCAAATAGGGAGATGAGGAGGAGAGGAGGGGGGATGGGGATGGGGATGGGGTGGCAACTGGAAACTCATCTGCTGATGCAGAGCGTTTTTCGGGTGTATTTTGAATTGAGTCACCAGCAGCACCCACAGAGGCAGAGCAATCAGAAGCAGCAGCAGCCGCAGGTGCAGTGGTGGTGGCAGCGACAGTAGTCTCAGCAGCAGCAGCTCCCTCAGGTGCTGTAGGCTCACTTGCTCGCAGCACCTTACCATCTGCCTCTCCTGTTCCTCGTATCCCTCCTGCCGACGCTGCCGACTCTCCCACAGCAGCAGCAAGCGTCTGGTGCTTGACTGCAAACACTGAGAGAACGGGGATCAGCGACAGCACACTCATATCTGCACCAGAGGCAGCGCCCCTAGCCACCCCAAAAGGAGCACGTTCCCCAACAGAGTCACTGAAGCCTGGAAGCACAGGCAGGGAGAGAGCAGCTTCTGTGACTTTTCCAACCCAGCCGGATTCGATCCCCCGACCTCCTGAGCACTTGGTCAGCACTCTATGGCTGTGGTATGCCAGCTCTGCCGCTATATTCACACTCTCTATAAGCAACTCCACGTTCACTCTCCTGCTCAGCCCGAACCTGCTCCCCCCGAACCTGCTCCCCCCGAACCTGCTGCCAAACCTTCTGCCACTGGACCTTGCAGCTACCCCTCTTCCTACCTCTCGAACCTCTCCTTTCTCCTCCTTCTCTTTCTCTTCCTCCCCATCCCCCTCCTCCTCTCCCACCTCCTCCTCATCCTCCTCATCACTCCCACCCCACATCCACTCAGCCTCTACCTTCTTGGCATGTGCCAAGGGCTTCATCGCTGCATGTCTCTCAAACAGCAGGTGCCTCGCTCTGGGAAGGTCCCTACTGCCACTCACCCCCCCCTTGCTGCTGCCGACCATTCCCCTACTGCTGCTGCCCACCAATCTGCTGCTGCCGCCGCTGCTGCTGGTGCTCACTAGTAGGTCTTCCCAAGAAGCTTCCAGTTCCAGCCGCCCGGCGTGGCGGGCAGCCTCAGAAGCCAATCGGAACGCTCCTCCAGCTGCCCGAGCAAGATCCTCCTCTGCCGTAACTGCCCCAAATTTTCCGCTCCATTTCCCACTCCATTCACCCCTTCCGCCTCCCCCTTTCACCCTCCCCTTATCCCCCATACAAGCAGCCTCGGCCACTTGTAATTCAGCTATATGACCCTGTAGCTTACGGGCGAATAGCGTAGCACCATCTGTCATCGCGAGGAAGAACCTAGGGGCTCCACAGCCCTGGTTGGCTGCTTGCTGCAGCACGGCTAAGTGGCTCTTAAGTAAGTGTGAGAGGCGGGTCGCTCCCTGTACTGATGAGGTGAGTCGCTCCTGTGTGCCTGATGGAAGGGAGAAATAGCAAAGGAGAAGTGAGGTGTGGGGCGGAGAGAGAGGGAATGAGAGAAGAGGGGAGAGAAAAGGAGGGAGAAGGGGAGGTTAAAAGAGAGGAAAATACACATCCACAAATGCACAGATGCACATGCACACTCTCACTCACCCTCAGATTGCAGGCCAAGGGAAAGAGTGAGCTCCAGCGAGAGCGCATGCACGACAGTGTGAGCCACCACTGCTGCTGCTGTAACGCGCTTACACCCAGCACACACATAAAACACATACTCCCTTCTCTCTCACCTGCGGATTGGAGTCCAAGGGAAAGAGTGAGCTCCAGGGAGAGAGCATGCAGGACAGTGTGAGCCACCGCTGCTGCACTGCCGGCCCTGATGCTTGCACCAGTGCTTGCACATACACGTACCTGCACACACACACAAACATACCCCCACCCACCCTCCTCTCACTCACCCTCAGATTGCAGGCCAAGCGAAAGAGTGAGCTCCAGCGAGAGCGCATGCACGACAGTGTGAGCCACCACTGCTGCTGCTCCCGCCATTGCCACTGCTGGGAGAAGCTGAGCTGACGCCCCTAATGCGCCGCCACCTGCGACACCATCTGTTTCAGCAGTAACCGCCATTGCACCAGCACTCCTCGTAGTAGCACCTGCACCAGCGGCTGTAGCAGCACCTGTAGCAGCAGAATCTGTAGCAGCAGCATCAGAGACTAACGACTGTAGCATGGAGAGCAGTGAAGAGGCTTGGACAGCCAGGCTTGAGGCTGTAGCAAGAGCTGTGGCCCCAGCTGTAACAGGGTAACCAGATGAGGCTGTGCTTTCCGAAACTGCACCACTCGCTGCAACCACATGTGCAGGATTCGTTGCACTGGCTGGCGACTGCAGCAGCAGCAGCAGCAGCAGCAACGGCAGCAGCAGCATTGGAGCAGATGGAGGCACAGAGATCGCCAAAGAGAACAGGCAGATGACCCCCATCCAGCAACGGATCCCTGACTTGTTCTCCCTCCTCCCCTCGTTCCCTCTGCTCCTCCCCCCCTCTGTCCCTACCCCCGCTCTCCCCCCTTCCTCCCACGCTTCCCTCCCCTTCTCTGCCTTGTTCCGCTCCATTCAGGGGGCACGAAGGGAGGGGTATACGGTGGAGCAAAGACAGGAGGGCGATTTCTGCTGCTGCTGACGCTGTTGCAGAGGCTAGGGGGGAAGGAGAGGAGTGTGAAGTAGGACGCATGCCAGAAGCATAGTCAGAACTGCCAGCAGCAGCAGAACCAGCATCACCATCACTCAAATACACCCATCCACAGCAAAGCTCCTCCAATCCAAAGCTCTTGCCACCTCTGCCACTTTCTTTACTCCCTCTGCCACCCGTCTCGTCCTTCCTCTTTCTCCCCCTTTCCCTCTTCCCCCCACCAGACTCCCCAAACACCGCTGCAACCGCATCCCCAAGCCTCAAGAGACATCGCAGCAGCAGCGCAGACACCACAGGAACAGCTGCTGCTGTGGGGAGCTGGGGCTCTAGGGGGAAGGGCCGCAGTTGCTGGAGTTCCAGGGAAAAGCTCTGCGTTGGAAGAAGCACAGTAGCCACAGAAAGAGCTGCTGCTGTGCGCAGGTGTGGTAGAGATGAGCTTTGGATTGACGCACCAGTCAACTGGAGGCTGGCTTGGATGTCTGACATGAGAGGGAGAGCCTGGGAGCACAGGTGAAGCCACGGCACACAGAGACTGCTTGCTGCTGTCACGGCACCGCCACTGCCTCTCCCCTGTTCGTCCCGCACAGAGTGCGCTTGCTGTGTGAGGACCAGTGGGTTGTGATGCGGTTCAGAAGCCGTGCCGTGCACGTGCGCCTGTGCAGGGACTAGCAGGGCCATAGCCGCTACTAGCTGCTGCAGGCGAGAGGTCAGCGAGGGGGGCAGTAGAGGCAGGGCGGGTAGGACTGGAGCAGGGCGGTTTGAAACGGGAGAGGTGGGGGATGCAGCAGTGGTGGACGGCCGGTGCATGGCTGCTGCACAAACGGAGGAAGAGAGGAGTTTCAGAAGCCTGAGAGATAACGCAGCGACACAACCTACGCTGTTCACTGAAGCTGGTGGTTCTGCTGCTGCTGCTCCTGCTCCTGTAACACCTGTAACATTGGTAACACGTGTAACACTCGGAACGCCTGGGTTCCCTTTAGCAGCTCCTTGTTTGGGCCAATGGGAGTGGGTTATCAGCTCTTGCCCTGCGTCCAGCAGCCAATGCGCAAGTGCCACGTCAGCACTGGCAGGGTCACTGCAGGCAGAGCGGCGGAGGAATGCGTCTGCCAGCTTGGCAAGCTGCGAGTCCAGGTCAGCTGCCACGTCAGCAAGGGAAAGGGTGAGAGAGTGAACGGTGAAATGGTGCTGAGTCAGCACAGCAGCAGGCAGAGCAGGAGGCACAACAGCAGAAGCTGCTGCTGCTGATGTTACTGCTGCTGGTGCGGATGGTTCAGATGCTGCTGATGCTTCAGCACGGCAAGGAGGAGCATCAGGGGCGGAAACAAACAGCACTTGCAGGAGAGAAGCAAGCAGGGAAGAGGAGGCAACAAGCCTGGCTGCAGTAGCTGCTGCTGACACGACCAAGTGGCTGGGGGTGGGGGAGGAGGAGGAGGAGAGGGGTCCATTGGATGAGGGTGACGATGGGGGAAGCCCAGGAATAGCAGAAGCAGGGGGAGGAGGAGGTGCGAATGGAATGGAGAGGCAGTGGAGGAGAGAGTGGGCCTGGAGGCGGAGAAGCAGGGCAGAACGATGGATAGAGGACCTTTCCACCCTGCATACCAGCTCCCCTGCGCATGACTCTGGTAGCACTACAGAGTCACGTGCACCTCCCCCAGATACAGCCTCCCCCAAGCCACTGTGGGTTCTGCTTTCCGGCCCTACACCTGTCTCTGCTGCCCTGATGTGTGTGGCGTGGAGCAGCAGTGAATGGTGGGCCTGAGCTTGATCAACCAGTGCTGCCAGCAACGAGAGCATATCATCGCCTGCCCCTCGCGCAGCATGATATACGAGATCACCATGATTTATTAAACCCATTCCACCACCACTACCATGATTGCAGCTGATTTTTGCCCGACATGATCCCCCCTGCCATCCCTTGTGTTGCCTGCTGCTGCTGTTGCTGCTCCTACTCCCTCCCCTGCTGCTGCGTCTCTGCTTCTTTGCCTGCCACAGCATCCGAAGCTGTCTGGAAGCTTCCACCACCATCCCTTCTGCCTGCAGCAGCAGGTCTTGCAAGGCGTCATCAGACGACCCAGCTGCTGCTGACACAGCAAACCGCACACACGAGTCAGCATGCACAGCTGCCAGATCAGCCAGAGCAGTGCGCTGACGCAGCACACCAGTGGCAGAGTGCCACTCTGCAGTATCCGCCTCACCCTCGGGTCTATTCTCAGGCAAAACAGGACTGCGCTCAGCAGAAACCACCACGTCCCCCCTCCCCTCGCAAGACCAGCACCAGCAGTGGTCATCCCACTCCCGTCCGCCTCCTCTTGGGCCTGCATTTCACCCTGCATCAGCAGGTTTCGTGCCAATAACTTAGCAGCTGCCGCCTGTGCCAGCAGCCCCTTCACGACCACCACATCTCCCTCTCCCTCTCCTCCTGGTGTACGTTCAGTCGACTCAACGTTCCCCTGCTCCGCCCTTCCTCCCTCTTTCTCACACTGCCGCAGCTCCAGCTGTGCTACGAGCGCAGCCATCCCTGCTGACCACCCCACGAGCCATGCAAAGCTACGTGCAGAAAATTCACAAGAAGCAACGACAGAAGCACCAACGCCATCAGCAGCAGCAGGCAAGCCAGTAGGCAAGCCAGTAGGCAAGCCAGCAGGCAAGCCAGCAGGCAAGCCAGCAGGCAAGCCAGCAGGCAAGCCAGCAGGCAAGCCAGCAGGCAAGCCAGCAGGCAAGCCAGCAGGCAAGCCAGCAGGCAAGCCAGCAGGCAAGCCAGCAGCGAGAATGGAGTGCGCCCTTCGGCAGGCCTTCACCACAGCCTGCAGGCTTGCCTGCTCTAACAAGCCCAACCCCTCACTCCCACTCTCCTCACACTTACTCTCCTCACACTTAAACCCCTCACACTCGCTCTCTTCCCCACCATCACGCTGTGCATGAAAGTCAGCTATCATGACTTGTCTGTGCAGCATCAACACCCAGCCAAGCTGGGCTGCCCGGAAAAGAATTCTGCTGAGCAACAGCCCTCGTCTTGCACTTCCTGAACCGTCCCCTCCTCTCAGCAGAATCGCATAGGCGGCATCAGGACCTAAATGCCCAGGCAGCAGCACCAGCACCTCAATTTCACGCGCCAAGTGCAGCGCTACGCCTGCAGCAGTAGCAGCAGCGCTTTGCTCACTGCTCACACGTCTGCTGCTGAGAAACGCAACCCTGCTTTGCACACGTTCCAGGTCTGGTTGACCAGCCATTTCACCTGAGAGACCTGCTTCCCTGCTTCCCCCTCGCACTTCCCTGCTCCTCTCACTGCTTTCGCCGATAATCAAGAACCCGCCTGGCACCGACTGCTCCTGTTGCTCCTGTTGCTTCCCCGGCATCTCCTGCCCCTGATGCTGCAGCAGCAGCTGCAGCTCCCCTCGCCTTGTCTCGAGAACCTTCATCAGATTCAAGTGCCTCTCTGCTGCATGCAGTAGCGCATCTGCTGCTCGCACCCCATCCTCTCTCTCATCCTCCTCCCCCTCCCTTCTCCCATCTCCTCCTTTCCCTCTTCCCACTCCTCCCCTTTCTCTCCCCTCTCCCCTTCTCCCCTCCGTTCCGTCACTACACTCTTCGCCAATCACCTTTCCTGCCAGCACAGCAGCAGCACCAATCACAGCAGCACAGCTCCTCCCTGCCTTTCTCAGAAGCTTCTCTCCCCACCGCACACCACCCATTTCTCCGCCTAAACCGCTGCCGCCCTCCCTGCAACCGCCCTCCCCAGCTACAAGACAAAAATGCCGGACAGAAGCCGCCACAAGACTCAGCGCAATCTGGGCCGCGGCACTCTGGCCGGCGACAAAATTTCCGTGGATTTTATTATCTGCGGATTTTATTCCCCCCCCCCGCAAATCGTCAGGCACGGCGCCTCTGTTATAATCACCTCCTATAATTAACCTGCCCACCCCATCTCTCACTTCATCCAAGAGACTTGCAGCCCCCCTTAAAAGCACACTCGTTTCTGTCACAGGCGCCCCAGCAACCACACGCCCTGCATTCTCCCCCTTCACTGAACCCTCTCTGTCTCCTCTCCCCTCCTCTCCTGCTGCACTCACACCCCCGAACCCTTCCTTCTTTCCCTTCACCAACAATCCTTCTTTCCTTCCCTTCATCCTCCTCTGGCCCAATCCTTCCACCACCCGTCCTCCGTCTCTTCCCATCCCACTCCACCTTCCACCTCTCCTTGCCCGTCCCTGTGCTTGGTCTCCCTTCATCCCTGAATTTTCTCCCCGCTTCCCCATGACAGGCGCCTCACAAGACACCTCCTCAACGTCTGCCACAGCCTCTATCGCCCTCACCATGCCTGCCACTGCCACCAGCCCTGAGAACCCCAGGGAAACGAGCATGTTCGTTTCAGACACTTGCCCACAACAAGTCTGCTCCTTTAGAGAAGAGCAATCTTCTCTGTGCCAACAGCAATCTGTTGGTCGAGACAGCTTCAACCGCAACTGCATGGCGTTTATTGTTCTCAGCATCCCCTCACACACCTCCTCACACTCCCTCACACTCACACTCCCCTCCAACCAGTCACACCTACTACTCCCCAATTCCTCTTGCGTGCCCTCTTCCTCGCTCCTCTTTTCTCGCTTCCCCTCCTCTCCACCACTCCCCTCCTCTCGCTTCCCCTCCTCTTTTGATCCCTCTTTCGCCCCCTGCCCTCCGCAGAACCCTGCAGCTGAGTGTAGCAGCTTCCTGTAGGCTTCCACCACAGTGCAGAGGAAAGACAGCCTGTGCTGGAGGGTAGTGACAACAACAGACGACCCACTTCCGTCCGTCTCTTTACTGACGTTCCACAAACGTTCAAGTTTCCCTCCGTCCGTCCGTCTCTTTACCATACATTCAAAGCCCAAACGTTCCACAATTGCACAAGCCTCTGCAGCAGCAGCCGCATGGCGCTGCAGCAGCAACCATCCAGAGAGTAGCAGGTGAGAAACCCAATGCTTCGGTACAGGAAAATAGGCCTCCTGCTGCTGCTGCTCCTGCTGCTGCTGCTGCTGCTGCTGCTGCTGCTTTCCCTGCAGCTTCTCCTGCTCCTCCTGCTCTGGCTGCTGCTGCTGCTGCTGCTGCTGCTGCTGCTGCTCCTGCTCTTCCTCCTGCTGCTGATTCCGCCTCGGTCGTGGCTTCAGCAGCCCTCCAATCGTTTCCGCCGCTGCTGCCACCAGCGCGATTCCGTCCTGAGCAACACCCACAGTTGTTGCTGCTCCCTCTGCTGATCCCCCTGCTGCACCCTTACCTGCTGCTGCCACTCCCCTCGCTGCTGTCGCACTCTTACCTGCTGCCGCTGCTCCTGCTGCACATACCTTCACCCCATGTGCCGCAGCTTGGTCCCTAAACGCTGCTGCTGCTGCCCCCGCTTCTGCGTCGAATGCCTCTGCTTCAGCTGCTGAGGGTTCTGGGAGCAGTTCGCTCCAATTCTTGCTATCCTTCTCTCCAGCAGCAGCAAGAGCAGTTGCAGCAACAGGAGCAGTCACAGGGGGAGCAGTAGCAGCGGGAGCAGGAGCAGTGGACGCAACACAGCTACAAAGCAGCTCGGCGCTCTCAATTAGAGCAAACAACGATGCCAGCCCCTGCTGCTGTTGTAGCTGTTGTTGCTGATGCTGCTGCCGCTGCTGTTGTCCCCACCGCTCCACCAGCACTGTTGCATGCTCTGAGGCAGCTTGTAGCAGCTTCCCACTTCGATCCCACAGATCTGCCTGCCTCTGCCTCTCCTCTTCCAGAAGCTTCCCCTCGACTTCACCCCCTCCGTCCGTCTCCTCTTCTTCGTCTTCTAACCATCCTCCTTCCTCCTCGTTTCCTTCCTCCTCCTCTCCTTCCTCCTCCTCCTCTCCTTCCTCCTCCTTGTCCTCTTCCTTTTCAACACTCACTCCCGCCTCCACCTTCCTCTCTTCCTTCACACTCCCCTCTCTCTCCACATCTCCCCTCCTCTGCTCGTCAACTCTCCTCCTCTTCGCTTCCATCACTCTCAGAAGGCCCACCACAAGAAACAACAGATCTTCCAGCCTTCTTGCACTTTCTCTTGGTCCTTCTGCAATCATATCGCCCACAGTCACACCACCTGAAGTCAAATCGCCTGCAGTTACACCACTTACTGTCATACCACCTATAGTCACATCACCTGCTGTCACACCCTCCTCCCTCATTCGTCCTCCCACTATGTGCTGACTCAGCAGAAGCAGATGGTTCTCTGCCAGAACCACCAGATTCTCCACTGCTAGGGTTACATCTGTCGCTGGAACAGTTTCAACTGTTCCTGCTTGGGTTACATCTGTCCCTGGAAGCGTTGCATCTGTCGCTGACAGTCTCACCGCATCAAATTCTACAACCTCACACTCAAGCCTTTCTGAGAGACTCATAAGAAGCTTGGCCTTCGTTATAATCGCCTCCCCCTGCTTGCACACCTCTTGCCAGCTCAGCACCTCATGGTCTTCATCCACGTCAGCAGTCCCACCAGCATCCACATCAGCAGCCACATCAGCACCCACTTCCTCACCCACCACCCTTCGTTCCACTCCCCCCTCACCAATAGTTACATCTGTTACAGTCACCGCACCCTGTGCGGTAACCCTGTCCACCAGTGCCCCCTCTACAGCCAACCCCACCTCCTCCCTGTGTTCAATCACGTCCCGCCACAGCTCAGAGGCTGCTATAATCACCTCCCTTATATTCACCTTCTCGCTCCCCACCCCCTCTAAGGTCACATCGCCACCAGAAACATCCTCAGCAGCACTCACACTCTCTACAGTCACATTTTCTACAGTCGCCTCTGCCTGCCCACTGCTTTCCCTCACCCCTTCAGCTGCCGTTACAGTCACATTCTCTCCAATCACATCCTCCCCATTCACATCCTTTTCAGTCACATCCTTCCCACTCACCTCTTGCACACCTGCTGCGTCACCTAGCACCTCATGTGCCGTCTCTTCCCCCTCCATACAGTCACCCTTTGTAGAATCAACCACAAGCACCTCTGCGGCATTCAATTGCACCTTACCAACCTGTGCTGCCTCTTCCCCCTCCATACAGTCACTCATAGGCCAGAGCGACCCACCCACAGCAGCAACCATACCCCACAGATCCATCCCACCTGCCCCAGACCCACCTTCCCCAGATACAACTTCCCCCTCCTCCTCCCCATCCCCAAACAAATCAAATCCGATAAAATCCGCTACAGTGGTGACAATCGCTAGATCTACCTGCAGTTTACTGTAGCCTCCTCGAGAGCGCGGGCGTGGGGGAGTGGAGAGGCGAGGAGGGGTGGACAGATGGGTGGGGAAGCGGGGAGGAGGAAGGGTGACGTCATCCGTTGGATCGAGCAGGGATGCGGATGGAGCGTCAGGATCGCTGCGCGATCTTGCCATTAATTGGGTGGCTTTATTGGTGCTGCTTATGCACTTAAACGAGTGTGACTGTATGCGGTTGGGTAGCACGATGCGAGGGGATCCGAGCCGGGACAAGAGAAGGGCGTCTTCGTCTGCAGGGGCAGTGGCGGCAGCAGTGGCGGCAGAGGCAGCAGCAGGGGCAGCAGCAGAGGAGGCAGCAGGTGAGTTTTGAGGTGGTTCAAGAGAGAGGAGAAGAGTGTACTTTTCTGCTTCTTGCTGCTCAGAACCAGCTGGGGGTGCAGCAGGGGCAGCAGGGGCAGCAGGAGCAGAGGAGGCAGCAGAGGCAGCAGAGGCAGCAGAGGCAGCAGGCTCAGGGGGTGTTAGCTTGGGGGATGTAGGCTTGGCAAAGGCGGGCGTGGGGGAGGTTGGCTTGGGGGAGGAGGGCTTGGGGGAGGCGGGCTTGGGGGAGGCGGGCTTGGGGGAGGCGGGCTTGGGGGAGGTTGGCTTGGGGGAGGAGGGCTTGGGGGAGGTTGGAACTGGGGTTGTGGGCAGGACTACAGACACGAGCCTGTTGGCTGGTGAGGCCCGGGGTGAGGAGGCTAGAGGGCGGGAGAGGGAGGGGGATCTGGGGGAGGTAGGCTTCAGGAAGGTTTGGACTGCGGCTGTGGGCAGAAGTATGGAAGAAACGTCTCCTGTGGCTGGTGAGGCCCGGGGTGAGGAGGCTAGAGGGCGGGAGAGGGAGGGGGATCTGGGGGAGGCTGGGGGGAAGGGGCCGGGGAGACTTGAGCGGGACAGTGGGGGGAGGGAGAGAGACCTGGGGGAAGCAGGGGGGAGGGAGAGCGTGGGGGAGCTCGAGACGAGTGTGCCTTAGGTGAATGGGCTTCTAACGAGAAGGGCGTTGGGAGAAAGGCGTTTGGAGACAGTGGTTCGCGAGAAGAAGGTTTCGGTGAAGGTACTCTTAACGAGGATGGCTTTGAAGAGGATAACGACTTGCGGGGATGCTTTGCTGTTGACCGTGCCCCGAAACTAGCACCAGCACCAGCACCACCAGCACCAGCACCACTAGCAGTAGTAGCAGCAGCATTACCCCCCCAACCTACACTAAACCTCGAGGCAGGCTGGCCACTGTAACCCCTCGGAGATCCCGGCTGGTTGGCTGTCCTCACAAAGCACAAGAAGCTTCCAGGACGCATCACAACCCCGCCATAACCGCCATCACCACTACCACCATCATCATTCTCCTCCGCATCACAAGCACCCTCCAGTCCGCCCCTCTGCACTCGGTGCCTCTGGCCTCCTTCCCTCTCGTCTTCTCCTTCTGCTACCTCCTCACCCCTCAGGAACCGCTTCCTCTGCACCACAGCACTGCCACTCCCATGCTCCATCACACTAAATAGGCTCCCCTTTCCCTCCTGCCTGCCCTTCGTCCCAGCACTCGCAGGTGCAGCATCCCCAGTAGAAGCATTTCCGCTAGAAACACTATCCCCTTTAGAAACATCCCCTTTAGTGACGTCTCCCGAGCTCCTCACCCGCCGAAGCTTCATTGCAAACAGGTACGTGCCTCCTCCACCCTCCCCTCCACCAGACGACTCTAGAGGCACCTCAAAATTCACGTACGTGCCTCCGCCCTCCCTTCTATCCTCTCCCCCGCTCTCAGTTGTCTCCTCCATCTGACGTGCCACATTAGCTGCCTTCGCGCGAGAGTCAATCACAACCGTTGATCCTCTGCTTACAGATTCACCTCCTGCACACTCGCCCCCTTCCCTGCCCCCATTGCCCACACCTCCTGGTTCCGGAGCTGTTGCCTGCGTCTCCAAGCCTCTTCTCTTCTTTTCACCCCTAGAAGATTCGGCTTCTACGTCTCTTCGCCAGCTCTTGGCTCGGCGCTCCGGGTCTAACTCCCAGGTTCGGACGACAGGTCCGTCCCTTCCCGAACCTGTTCTCCCATCCTCTCCCTTGAAACCCGCCCCTGCTTCTGCCTCGCCAGAGCTGGCCCGAACCACACCACCGAAGCTCCCAGCCTGGTCAGTAGATTCCGAACCCAAGCCTGCTAGTTTCCTTGTATCCTGTTGTGCAGCTCCGGAATTTTCAGCCTCCCCTGAAACAGCCTCGGGATTGTCAGGCTTCCCCGAGCCGCCCTTGGGATTGTCTAGATGCTCTGAATCTGCTGAGCAGGCTATAGCAGGGTCTCTATGGATAGGAGGGGGCGGACCGTTTGTGCTTGAGCTCTCCGGGTGAAGACTTGACGTGGCATCTGACGTCGCGCCAGCTGGTCTTTCCAGCTCGCAAGCTGGCCTATACGGTGTTTCTGTCTCTGCAGGTGGAGGCGATGAGTAGCGCACTGTTGTTGCTGCTGGTACTGCTGTTGCTGTTGCTATAGATGGTGCTGAGATCGAGCACTCATCCACTAACGTCATATCTCCGCCATTCTCTCTCCGTCCCAACCCATCCTCCACCTCACCTACCATCCGCCCGTCTGTTGCTCCTCCCTCTTCTTTTTCGCGCTGGGACGCCCCTGCTGTTGCTCCCGTCACCTCCTCTCCTCTCAACGCCCCAGTATCTGCTGCCCCAATTCCTGCGGCCCCTGAAGTTCCTTCTTCCCCAGCCCCTCCCCTTCCCGCAGTCTCTTCCGCTGCCCCAGCCCTCCCCCCTACCCCAGTCTCTCCCAATGCCCCAGCTTCTCCCGTTGACCCCTTGTGTCTGTGGGACTTGCTCTTGGACTTTCGCTTGTGCGAACTCTCCACCTCGTCAATGAACACGTCTAGCAGGTCCTGGCGAAATAGGGTTACCAAAGAAAAACGGGTCGCAAATTCAATCAACTTCGCACAGCAGAACCATTGAAAAGGTTGGGATAGAAACAAGAGATAAAAATGCATTATCAGACGTGGCAAAACGCGATAAGAATTTTGAGGTGCCTCAACAGCAAGATAATACAGTATCAGACGTGGCGAAACGCGAAAAGAAGCGTGTTACTCATCGACAAAACTCGCAATTGCGTTTTGAGACTCGTAGTCTGTTGATAATTTCTCCCCACGAACCTTAACTGGCTGCGTTCCTGCCAACTGTCCCATCCCTCCTCCCAAGCCTCTGGACGGAGCTGGACCCGACCGCCGAGCTTGGAGGCTCGGCGACTGCGCGGTGGCTCGGGAGGACTGCGACGTGGTTCGGGATATGGTGCTGCTGTCGTATTCGGTACTGCTATCGAAATCCGGGACTTCCATTCCCCTGCTGCTAACGCACCCCATTGGTGGCATCTTGACGACGGTATGCCACGTGGCATGGAAAACGACTGTCTTAGGGTTGCAGGCGGATGGTGACACGTGGCAAGGAATCGATCAGGTTAAGTTAACGACATCATATACGGGATGTGGCGATAGGCGAAGGTATTAGGCAACATTGCCCCGTACGAGAAGCTTACACCCGCCATAACGAAATTAGCACTGCTGTCGAGGTGGGTTCTATGGTGAGTACACGAATGCGCGAGTACGGCTTTGTCAGACCGAAGCTCCTTATTAGGTCGCACGAAATGCGCCATGCCGGCATTGTAAGCGAACCAAGCGAACGTCGGTCACAATCAAACATCGCAAAAAGGCCTAACGTGAATTATTAACGTGGAACCGTCACTGCGGCCACAGAGAATAAACGTCATGACTCGCTGCTACCAGAAAGCCTGCCTTGTTAGTGTCTCCTAATCAGCTCTTACTACCACAAGTGAGCACAGAAAATGTTGCACAATCAACCGCACACAATTCTTCGGCTTTTTCTGCTCCCAACGAGTGCGGAAATTTGCCTCTCCTCCAATCAGAGGATCTCCTCAGATTTCGCACATCACTGATGGCATCGTCGTCAACAACATCCAGGGGAGGCTGCTGTGAAATTTTTCCTGCTTGGGTTTTCCTGCCACTAAAAAAAACCGTATAAATAAAAATACAGCACGAATACAGCAGGTCGGTGTAGTTTAGTGGTTAGAATCCCACGTTGTGGCCGTGGAGACCTGGGCTCGAATCCCAGCACCGACACCTTTTGGTGTCCCCAGAAGGAGTTAAAGCCGGCAGCCCAAATTGTTCATCCTTTTAAAAGTTGACGAGAGGGTGATTTCCAGGCCTTGGGTTGGGCGAGTGTTTTTGAGATTTCGTCAAAATCGTTTTTTTTAGCCAAACCCAGCCAGCCCGCGGATTTCCCTCTGGTGAGTGGAGTGGACTTCGAAAGTCCCAAATTGCAGGTGCGCTGCTTTTCAAAGCCTGAGCACTCAGCTTCATCAAGTTTTAAAAACTTCAGCGCGCGGCCCGCAATTCGGGACACGGGCTTTAATCTGTCATGTTTCTTTTCACACTGACTCTACATAGTACAAGGGCACGAATACATCATGCCTATATGCAACGCCCTTGATCATTTTGTTGTATTTTCCAATTAACAATCTAAGGAATATCCTGGCTAAAAATCCAAACCTACACGTGAGCTGAACATCTAATTATCAGCGTGTTAACTTAGAAATGCAGCATACTTGAAAATAAGGCTGGAAAGATGAAGCATTTTTAGCAACTAATGAATGCTATTACTTTCCAAGTTTCCCAGCATATAATAGGGTTACGCATGGAAAGTAATCGGTGCAGCTTTGAAATGGGGCACCAAACTCGAGTACCCCGTTTTCGCGCACGAAGTTTCCCGCCAAGAGCCGAACCGCCACTCGCACCTCTCCGTTCCCGCTAAACCGAAACATAACCACGTCCCAGACCTACTGCCACGCTTGCGGTTCGGCTATAACGTGTCAGGTGGGGAAATTGAAAGGTTTCAGGGAAATTGGTTTGGCGTGCTGGAATTGGTCAGGTGGGGTTTCAAACCAGGGTATTTTAATACGGCGTAATGAGTTTTCCTGCGTTGTAAAACGGTCAATATACGCTTCAGGCTGGCATGGATTGATGGCAGGTTTGGGCGGAGTGAGCCAAAAATGGAACCAGAGAGCAGAAATAGGCGATGGGTACCCCGATTATCGCGTCCTGCCTTGCATTTGAGAGCTTGAATTTTCAGCTTGAGCCTTCACTCGCCTTCTCTAGCCGTACTTGCACGGGGCAGTTCTAAGAACATAGTGCAGCAGCCCGCTGTAACCCGTTGTTAACTCCTCTCACGCTTACTGTTCTTGACCAGGCGAAACTGACTTCCGCAACTTTTTACTCGTCCGTACTTCGCCGTCGCCACGTCACCATGAAGCAACGATCGCATACCGCGACGTACCTCGTGCTCCTGGTTGCCGCGTCGTGCCTCGTCAGCTACGCCGCGGCGCAATCATGCTCGGCAGTGTGCACCGTTCCCGGCAGCCCCAATCTCGTTAACTCCGACTGCGTTGTCCAGTGCAACGTAAGAGAATCCTTCTTCCCCTCCTCCGTCTTCCCTATTCCCCCTTCCTGCACCTCCCTCCCCTGCCTGTGAGGGACAGCCTCCCCTGAGGGGGAGGCGCGCCAATCTCATTAACTCCGGATGCGCGCTCCAGTGCTTTAAGCTGCTCGAGAAGCCCACTCCGACCCTTTTCGTCGTTCTCCTTCGCTTTCCCCTTTCCCCCTTCCTCCCCCTTCCTCCCCCTTCCTGCGCCTCCCTCCCCTTCCTCCTCTTCCTCCCCCCCCCCCCCCCCCCCCCCCCCCTCCCTTTCCTCTCTCTTCCTCCGCCGTCCTTTCCTGCCTCTGTTACGGATGCCCCACTTAGCCGCACCGTCTCCCCCTCACTTCGCCTCCCCAACGCCTCCCTTCCGCTTCCCTTCCGACTCCCTTCCGCCTCCCTTCCGCCTCCCTTCCGACTGCCTTCCGCTTCCCTTCCGCCCCCTTCCGCCCCCTTCCGCCTTCCCCCAACAGAACTGCGGCTACGCGACTCCCTACGGATGCGCCACCTACTTCCAGCCCTTGTGGAACTATAACGGTGAGTGTGAGTGTGTGTAATGTAATGAGAGACTTTAGCAAGTATGGAGTGTACGCGACTACTTATGGATGTGCCACCCACTTCCAGACCTTGTGGGGCTGTAACGGTGAGTGTAACTATCTGGGATTTTTTATGACGAGTAACGACGAGTGTGTCGTGTAGTGGGTGATTATAACGAGGGTGTCAGTTGTGAGTGTAATGAGAACTGCCCCAATAGTGACTACAGTGGTGTGAGAGGTGCGTTAGTGCAGCGACAAGCTTGCCTCGTCCTCTGTTCGCTCCAATCCCCCCATCCGCCTCAATCCCCCCATCCGCCCCACCCCTCATCCGCCCCACCCCCCATCCGCCCCAATCCTACCATCCGCCCCAATCCTACCATCCGCCCCAATCCCCTCAGTCTCCCCCACTCTCTCCACTCGCCCCATGTTCCTCAAACTTCCCACTCCCCCCACTCGATGTTGAGACGCCCCAGCAGTCGAACTTGAGCCGTATCGCAATTGATACAGAAACGCCTCAAAACGGAAACTGATGCTTTAATGAAGTTTCCGCTTCCTTCCTCCGCTCGCTCGCTCGCTCGCTCACCACCCTCCATCTCCCCTCCCCTCCTGCCCACCTCACCACTCTCTCCCCCTCCTCCACCTTCACTCCAACTCTTTCCGTGGCACCTCCTCATAACTCTTTCCTTTTTTCCCCAAAATAACTCTTTCGCTAGTGACTTTCCACGGCGTGAAAGTCACTAGCGAAGATTCTTATAACTGAATTTCTTTGCTTTTCAGGCGCCTCAGAACTTTCATCCTCTATAGACTACATGAAAGTCACTCGTGGGATTGCTCAAAACTTCCCTCTCTCCTCCACCCCTCGTTCTCAGCCTACGTGTCCTGCAAGCTGCAGCTACTCGTGCTCCAGCGGGCTCGCCTTCGGCTGGTCGTTGCTGCACCGCACAACAATCCTCACCTTTCCCATCAACTCCTCCGTCTCTCCCTTGCACCCATTCCCTTTCCCTCTCCACCCCTCACAGCCTACGTGTCCGCCAGCTGCAGCTACTCGTGCTCCAGCGGGCTCGCCTGATTTTGGCTGGTCGTTGCGGCACCGCACAGCACTCCTCACATTTCCCGTCAACTCCTCCTTCTCCCCCTTTCACCCATTCCCCTTCCCTCTCCACCCCTCACAGCCTACGTGTCCGCCAGCTGCAGCTACTCGTGCTCCAGCGGGCTCGCCTGGTGGTCGTGGCTGCTCATCAGTCTCGCGATTCTCTTCGTCTCTGTAGCAGTGGGCTTCGGAGTTTACGTGTGCCTTCGCTCCGCCCGCAGCTGAGGCGTCGCGTGTACATGAGCCGCCGCACAGACAGGCAGATCTCTCCTCGTACGAGAAACGTTTCTGTAGGAGTGGGCTTCGGGGTCTACGTGTGCCTTCGCTCCAACCGAAGCTGATCTCTCGAGAGCACTGCTGTGGGCGTAAATTGTCTCTATGGTATCTCAGTGGCGCCTCTAAAACGTACTCGTAAATGACTCCATAGCGGTGGGTTTTGATCCCACGTGTGCCTGAGTCCCTCCTGCAGCTGACCGTGATGCGATTGCTGAACGCCCAAAAAGTGTAGCTGATTTTGTGGTAATTTTAGTTAATAAACTGGATATTCTGCTAGGTCTGTTGGAAGTCATGCACTTCCAAAGCTCTAACATGCTTTTGTCACCATAGGAGGAATTATGGAAGCCGGTTCAGCAGTCACACCCTTACCGTTCTCTGCTTTGTGAATCTGGTTAATCTTGACATTAGTCACCGGGCCTTCATGGTCTAGCATGCTCGCTCACACGGACTCCACCGTTATTCATCATAACCTTCTGATACCAGCCTAACCAAGCTAGTACACTTGTATGCTCCATTCAGCTATAACACACACAAAATACACATCCGCGTGTCAACATCGAACAAACGAACTCATGAGAGGGCACATCTACAGCACCCGTCGCCACGCCACTAATCAACTCAAGTTCGTGAAAGGCGCATTCTCTAGCCAGAAATCATCTAACGGCTGTGCCAACACAGGCCATTCAAATAGGTTATTATTGCCATGGAAGGACACTGACTCGAGTAGTCTGTCGTAAGCAGCAAGCTCCTTCCCATCATCTTCCCCATCCTGTTGCTGATAACGGGATGCATCCATACCAGCTTGAACACTGCCCATGCCCATGCGCGTTTGACTGTCATGCACGCCCAACTGACCCCAACCCGTACCCATTTGACTACCACCCATGCCGGACTGATTGTTGCAGGTGCCTGCTTCACCTTCACACATGCCTATCTGTCCACCTCCCAATCCCATTCGACCATCATCACACGACCCTTCATGTTGCTGTGAGAGCAGTCGAGGGGATGGCATGTGCTTTTGGGTCGACATGTAAGGCTGTAGTGATGGTGTTTCCATGGCTCCTGGTGCTTCTACAGCCAGACTTGGGACACGTATGTCGCCCTGGGTTGGAGCAGGGAGATTAGTTGGCTCATCTGCTGCCAGTGCTGGTGCTGCGGGTGGCGGTGGTACTGCTGCTGCTGGTTGTCCTGCCGCTGGTGGCTGCTGCTGCTGTTGCTGCTGCTTCTGCTGCTGCTGCCGGTGACACAACGAGGCTCGATGCCTGAAGCTCAGATTCCAGTTGCCACAGAAGCAAGTCCATGGACTGTGCAGTGAGTGACGGCGATTGATTGAAAGGCTGTAACATCTCCGCATGTGAAAGCGACAAAGGTGACTGTAGCGGTGGTCCTGCTGGGAGCACACATGCAGGTGACAGTATCGGTGGTCCTGCTGAGAGCAGATTTGCAGGTGACTGCAGTGGCGATCTTGCTGAAACCAAATCTGCGAGTGATTGTATCGGTGGTGCTGCCAACGGCAGATTTGCAGGCGACTGTAGCAGCGATCTTGCTGACATCAGATCCGCATTCGACTGTTGCGGGAGTCCTGCTGAGAGCAGATTTACAGGCGACTGTAGCAGGGATCTTGCTGACATCAGATCCGCAAATGATTGCATCGATGATCTTGCTGAAACCAGATCTTCAGGTGACTGCAACGGTGGTCCTGCTGGAAGCAGATTTGCAGGTGAACAATCCAGAGGGGCTGTAGCTTGAGGCACATGCGATGGGGTGTGATGGGACAGGGTGTTACGGGATGGTGTGCGGTGGAAGGAGGTGTGACGCGATGGGGTGTGCCGGGATGGTGAAGGACAGGATAGGCCACGCAGGACTGTGGCAGCATAAGCTGGGACAGGTCTTGCTGGGGAGTAGTTGGTTGGGGCAGCGGCATGATAAGCCGGGGCAGGATAGGCCGGGCAAGCCAGTGCCGAGGCTTCATGCTCCATAAACTGCAATCATGGAATCCACAAGAGGTGGCAGGGTGTCAGCAGGAGAATGGTAACAAGAAGAAGGTTGCTACTAGTTAAAAAAAAAAAAATAAATAAATAATTAAAAAAAAAACACACACACACACACACACACACAAACACACACACACACACACACACACACACACACACACACACACACACACACACACACACACACACACACACACACACACACACACACACACACACACACACACACACACACACACAAACAAACAAACAAACAAAAACAGCTTACCTCGTTCTTGACTTCGGCCAGTTGATCCAAGGGCGCAGCTTCCATATTATTAGGTAAGCCAGGTGCAAATCGCGCAAGCCTTGAATCAGGAACAATTGTAGAAGCGGCAGCAGCAATTGCAGCAGCAGACGACAAGGCAGAAGTCACGGTGTCCATATGAGAAGCAAAGGCGAGGTCACTGGATGCGTCCAACACACGCAGCACATCTGCTGGGTTGGGCACAGCAGTGGCAACTGCAGCAGGCGCAGGGGCAGGAGGAGCAGCAGACACAGAAGCAACATCAGCAGCGCCACCAGCAGAGCCACCAGCAGCGCCACCATCAGAGCCACCAGCAGCGCAACCAGCAGCGTAACCAGCAGCGCCAGCAACAACGCCTGAGTCTATGCTTGCAGCAGGAGACGAGCCTGCTGTGCCTGGAGCATCAGCAAAGCTGCTGCTGCTGCTGGAGGCGCCAACCCCTCTAGCAGTGTGCACGCAGGCACTGCTACTATCATCCACACCGTTCATCTGCTGCTGTGCTCCCGCATCCGACGCTCTTTGCCTCTGGGCCATCCTTGAAAGCACCACCTCCCACTCAGCCGGCGTCAGAAGCTCCCCCAGCAGCAGTGATACGTCGCGGTTGCTTTCGCCAACGTTGGCACTTGCGGGAATCTGCCAGTTTCGTGGAACCGCGGCTGTCAAAGTGGCTAGGGCTGCTTCGTCTGCTGGTTCGACTGGCTCTTCCGGGCCTGCCGGGTCGGCCAGACCCGCTGGGTTCGGATACTGGTTCGGATAACACTGTGGCAGTCCAAGGTTGCTCTGGTGCAGCATCCCTTGAGCAGCGCAGGTCGTTGCTGACAGCCTGGGAAAGAACGATGCATCGCCGCCAGCAGCAGCACAAAGCGGCCCAGCAGGCAAGTGTGGAGCAGACGCAGAGCTTCCAGCAGGCCAAGGCAGCCCGTCGTGGCTACACGACAATGTCCTTTGAGAGCTCTCAAAAGCACAGGTAGCAGCTGAAGAGCGTGGAGTAGCCACGGCTGAGAAGCGTGGAGCAGCCGTGGCTGAGAAGTGTGGAGCAGGCACACAGCTGCCAGCAGCAGCCCAGGGGGGCTCATACAGGCAGAAGCTGTCTCTGAGGCTCTCCAGGGGACCATCCGGCTCAACTTTCACAGGTGCTACCCTCTGCCGCTTTGAAACCTTGTAGCTCGACTCCCTGTCTGGCTGATAGCTCAAGTCCCCAGCCTGGAAGCTCATCCCCCCCGGCTGGTAGCTCCTGCCAGCTCGGCTGATTCCCTCTGTCTCTTTGCCAAGTGCCTCGATCTGCGCACACATGCTCCCGAAGGTCGCCCTCTGCGTTGTGTCAACAGATCTCAGCACGCGGACAGCAATAGGCGCAAGAGCAGTGCAAGTCTCCTTGGGTCCACCAAGTGAGCCGTAGGAAGGGACGAGGTCAGTGAGTGGTTTAGATGCATTCATGGTCTCCTTGACTTCGCGGCGCTGCACCTCGGAAACACATGGAGGGATTTTCATGGTCGATCTACCTTGCGAGGCCTTGAGAGGAATTTCAGGCCCTTGCAACAGCGCATGCGCTGGGTCATGCTGATGTTCAATGATGGCAGCAAGCGGTGCTGGGTAGGCTGTCGCTTCTGGGAAAGGCGCAGCCATTTTGGCGCCTGTCGTGGCGTCGCTGCTGCGGCAGCGGCGGCGCTTGAGGCACAAAGAAGGAGGGTGGTTGTGGAAGCCGGAGGTGGTCATGCGTATCACCTTGCGCATCTCCACTCGCTCGGGCCGGGATGTTCTTTCATCCTCCGGAGCAGGAGCAGCTGCATCGTCAGCGCCATCTGTAGCATCGGCAGAAGTAACCGCAGCCGCATTGCTGGGAACAGGAGCAGCAGCGGCGGCAGCTACGACTGCTGGCACGGTGTGCTTGCCGCGGGGTGGGCCGGCGATGCGGTCCTCTACCTTCCGTGCCGTGCATCCCGTGATGGCCTTGCACACACACGTGAAGTAGATCCTGGTGTGAGGGGTTGGAGGGAGGAGTAGAGAGAGGATTCATTCTGTGAACCTATTACAGCCTTGCGCACAAACGTGAAGCAGATCTTGGTGGGGAAGGAGGGGAGAGGGGGTGGGAAGGGGGGGATGCGGCCTTACATACACACGCGATTGGTAGGCTCCTGGGAGGTACTAGGTAGATAAGCTTGAAGAATGAGGATAAGCTGCGTAATAAATGAGGAGGGCCCCCTTTCTCTCGCGGGGAAAAAATAAATGAAATCAAATAAAACCAAATAAAAATGTTGCGTTGTGACTCGCAGGCGGTTTTGTCGTCGCCAGGGTAAAAAGGAATTCGCACTATCGAATAAGAAGATAGAAGACATTCCGAGGCTCACCTTTTCACAGTCCGTTGGCAGAGCCACTTATGCGAGACTTTCTGCCAGCGAAAGCGGCCAGAGTCTTCTTCCATTTGTTTAAAGGAGGAACGCGACGACTCCGGTGGCCAGGGTGGATCGCAAGCACCATTGTCTCTGCCTCCGCTCAAAGTTCCCATGCCGCTCCTCCAGCAAAAAGTCGTTCCACAAATGCTTGTGAATTACAAAGAATAATGTTATCTTCTTCTTCTTCCTGAGAATCGTTGTAGAACATATGGGTTGGAGCTAATAATTAGACAATAATTGCTGAAACATGGCAGCTGAAGGGCTGCTAGAAGCGTC